ATACATAATTATTACTCTTCTCGCCTACCCCTTTATAAAAAGGGTGGACACTGGGCATAAAGGTTAAGGTGCCACTTGGGAAGTCTGCCTCCCATGGGGGAGTGCATGAGTTCAAGTCTCCACTTGGATCCCAGCTCCAACTTTCTGCTAATGCAGACCCTGGGAGACTCCGCTGATGGCTCCAGGGATTGGGTCTCTGACATGTACATGGAAGACCTGGTGTGAGTTCCTGGTTCTTTGTTTTGGCCTGGTTTAGCCCATCTGTGGCAGGCATTTCGGGAGTGAGCCAGTGGGTGGAAGGTCTCTGTGTTTCTGCCTTTCAAATAAAATAAATTAAACCTAAAAAAAAAAGTGGTGTAGAGGAGGTTGAGGATGAGGATTAATATCAAGAACTTAATGTTGGGGCCTGGCGGCGTGGCCAGGTGGCTAAAGTCCTCACCTTGAACGCTCCGGGATCCCATATGGGTGCCGGTTCTAATCCTGGCGGCTCCACTTCCCATCCAGCTCCCTGCTTGTGGCCTGGGAAAGCAGTCGAGGATGGCCCAAAGCCTTGGCACCTTGCACCCGTGTGGGAGACCTGGAGGAAGTTCCTGATTCTGGTTTTGGATCAGCACATTACAGACCATGGTGGTCACTTGGGGAGTGAATCATTGTATGGAAGATCTTCCTCTCTGTCTCTCCTCCTTTTTATATATATATCTGATTTTTGCAATAAAAGCAAATAAATCTTTTCTTTTTAAAAAAAGAACTTAGTGTCTACAAGTCGTGGTGCTGAGAATGTCAACCCCATTAGTACACTGAATCCCCAGAAATCGCTGTAGGATGTGGCCAGTGTTGCCATTTCATGTCAGAACCTCAGATTCACCGAGGTCTCAAATCAGGTTTTCTGTTGGACATTCTAGATCCCAGGGTCATGAACTGTGGAGTGAGCCATGAAGCTGAGCAGGAAGAGTCTAGTGGTTTCCCATGATTAGAAAAAATTGTCCCCCCTCCGTCTCATTAGAGAATTATGAAATTAGTCATACAAATTATGAAAATAGAAGTCAGTGTTTTATTTGTGCTGTAACAATGTGGAAAACAGCAAGAGATTTCCATCAATCTGGAAAAAAAAGAGAAAACTTATAGAGTTTTCCAATTTCGTTCATGAGGAAATTTATCATTACCCAAACTGAGCAACCTGTTCCCACCCTTCCTGCCAACATTTTACCCACATTAGAGTTTTGAATGGGAGACAAAAAAGATAAGCTGCAAGATTTATAATATGAAGAAAAATAATTAGGCCAGGATGAACTCCATAGCAAGCAGAGGCCCAGAGCTGAAAAACACTCCATGTCTATGCTCAGCACCCTCCTTGTGGAAAAAAAACAACCTGCTCCAATCCATGTCTTAATCCCTGGAACTGGAAGTATTAACTTCCTTGGAGAAAGGCTCTGCAGATGCACATATGTGAAGTTAAGGCTCTTGAGATGGGAAATGAACCTATATTATCCATGTGGGTTCTACTAGCAATCATAAAATCCTTATAAGAGAGAACCAGAAAGGCTGGGATAATGGCTCAATGGCTAAATCCTCAAAAGTGTCAGGATCCCATATGGGCACTGGTTCTAGTCCCAGCTGCTTCACTTCCCATCCAGCTCCCTACTTGTGGCCTGAGAAAGCAGTAGAGAATGGCCCAAGTCTTTAGGACCCTACAGCCATGTGGGAGATCCGAAAGAAGTACCTCGCTCCTGATTTCAAATCAGCTAGGCTCCCGCTTGTTGCAGTCATTTGGGGAGTAAACCAGTAGACAGAAGATCTTTTTATCTTTCTCTTTTATCTGTAAATCTTATTTGCCTTTTGATTAAGAATAAATAACTCTGAACCTATCATAGTAGCCTAGCAGCTAGAGTCCTCATCTTGCATGTACCGGGATCCCATATGAGCACTGGTTCTTATCCCGGCCACCCTACTTCCCATCCAGCAGTTCCCAAAGCAGTTGAGGATGACCCAAAGCCTTGTGTGGGAGACCCGGATAAAGCTTATGGCTCCTGGCTTCGGATTGGCTCAGTTTCAGACATTGCGGCCGCTTGGGTAGTGAATCAACAGACAGAAAATCTTCCTTTCTGTCTCTCCTCCTTTGTGTATATCTGACTTCCCAATAAAAAAGAAGGAAATCTTCTAAATAAATAAATAAATAAATCTTTAAAAAGAGAGAGAAAGAGAGAGAGAGAGAGAACGAACCAGAATGAATGCCCCCGGCACACTAAGGAGGAGATGCTATGAAGACAGAGGTGGAGCTGGGAGTGACACAGCCCAAGCCCAGGAATGTCGGCAGCCAGATGCAGCAGCACGTCAGAGAAAGGAACTCATTCTCCCTGAGAACCTTGGGAGTGAGCATGGCCCTGTCAATAGCTCGACTTTGACCCAGGAAACTGAAGTCATGTTTCTGGCCTGAAGAACCAAGAGCAAATAGGTGTATTTTACTTCTTTTTTTTATTTAAAAGAGAGAGAAAGAGAAAAAGAGAAAGAGAGAGGCCCCAAAAGCCAAAGTCAGGAGTCTGGAATTTCATTCAGGTATCCCACATGGGTTTAGGAGCCCAAGCATTTGGGCCATCCTCTGCTGTTTTCCCAGGCACTTTAGCAGAGAGCTGCATCAGAAATGGAGCAGTTGGAACTCAAACTGGCACCCCTAAGGGATTCTGGGACTGCAGGTGGCAGCTTTACTCATTGTGACACAAGGGCTGCCCACACATAGCTTACTCTAAGCCATCAAATTAGTAATAATTAGTCATAACTCATACTTGTGACAGGACACTAATATGGGGTCCAGTGTGGTTCTCCAGATCTCAGTTCACTGTCTCCTCCTTTCTTTCCCATCAGGCATTTTCTCCGTCCCTATTTTTGCAAGAGTTTTCCAGCATGACAAGTACTCCCCATTGCAGTAGCTCGCTTAATTTTCATGTCCCTAGGAAATGGAAGGTACTACTATTCCTAACTTAGGGATGAGAAAAATAAGGCTCAGAGAAAAACTCAGTGTCATGGGCCCAGCACGATAGTGTAGCAGTTAAGGTCCTTGCCTTGAATGCGCCCGGGATCTCATATGGGCGCGGGTTCTAATTCCGGCAGCTCCACTTCCCATCCAGCTCCCTGTTGGTGGCCTGGGAAAGCAGTCAAGGACGGCCCAGATCTTTGGGACCCTGCACCCATGTGGGAGACCTGGAAAGAAGTTCCTGGCTCCTGGCTTTGGATTGGCTTAGCTGTTGCGGTCACTTGGGGAGTGAATCATCGTACGGAAGGTCTTCATCTCTGCCTCTCCTCCTCTCTGTACATGTGCCTTTCCAATAAGATAAATAAATCTTAAAAAAAAATACCCTCAGTGTCACATTCCTAGCAGCTAGCATTACAACCCAGGGCTGCAAAACACCCCTTACCTGCTTGTTCAGTCCTCAAAGGCCCACAGAGGCTGGGCTCCAGACAAAACCAGGAGCCAGGAGCCAGGAATGCCATCTGGGTCTTCATTACAGGGAGCCGGAGTCATAGCCAGATGGAGCATCAGACCCAGGCACGTGGTATGTGACACAGGTGTCTTAAAGATAGGCTGGATAAGATCCTACCTCCCTCTAATGCTAGAGGCAGGATTCACCTCTCCTATCAGCCACTGGCATGTCAGCACACTTGTCCTACGAAGTGTTTCCAGAAGCTGAATCGAAGGAGACCACACCCTTCCGATCTTCCAGCTCATGAAATGGACCTGCCATTTCCATCTGAGCTTTTCCATAAAGAGGAGAGGATGGCTACCCTGGGATGAAGGCTCCAGTACAATGGGTCTTAGAGGTCTGTGAACCAAACCCTCACTTAGGTCAAGGTCGCAGGTGGGCACAGACTATGAGTGGTACCACTGTTAAAATCCAGATCTGACTTCCAGTTCTGAGTTGGTTCCAGTGCACTTCACTTGGATCAAAAGTATTGCTGTGTTGGGCCCGGCGCGGTGGCGCAGTGGCGCAAGTGGTTAAGGTCCTCGCCTTGCATGCCTGGGATCCCATATGGGTGCCGGTTCTAATCCCGGCAGCCCCTCTTCCCTTCCAGCTCCCCGCTTGTGGCCTGGGCAGAGCAGTCGAGGACGGCCCAAAGCTTTGGGACCCTGCACCCATGTGGGAGACCTGGAAGAGTCTCCTGGCTTTGGATCGGCATAGCATCGGCCGTTGTGGTCACTTAGGGAGTGAATCATCGGATGGAAGATCTTCCTCTCTGTCTCTCCTCTCTGTATATCTGCCTTTCCAATAAAAATAAAATAAATCTTAAAAAAAAAAGTATTGCTGTAGAATTAGATGCTGACTAAACCTTAATAAGTGTAAAGACAGGTCCCACACCTTCTCAAGATGACAGTGCCCCAGTGTCTTCGTTCTCACGTGGGACATTCTGCAGGGCTCACTGAGGTGATCCGGGATACTGGGTGGGGAAAGCTTCTGAGTAGGAAAGGACACCGAGGGGACCAAGCTGATGTGGCCACATCCCAAAGTGGGAGAAGAGTGTCAGGCAATTCTGATTTTACTAGAACTCGGGGGATTTTTCAGAAAATCCTAAATGTGGTGGATTTGGACAAAATTACATCTTGTGCAATTAAGGAGTTGGCTTGGGAAACCCAACATTCCTAATAATATTTAAGGCTGAATATTTTCCATCCATCTATTACATAAACGTCTATGGAATAGTGAGTCATAGCCCTCAGGTGGCCAAAACATAAATAAACAAACAAGATAATGCATTTAAAGCCTTTCATACAGTCTTTGGACACAAGAAATGCTCAATAAGAACTAATGGATTTCAGTAAGACATGAGAGGGTCAGACTAGCAGCAGTAACTAGCCACTGTGCTTAAGACACGTTGATCTTCACCGCTTGCGGGACTCTATGTCCCAACATGCTCTTCGCCCGGGTTCCGCTAACCATTGCATTGTGGGTCTTGTAGTCCGGAAGCGAGTGGCCGAAGTCTCAGAGCGCAAGCGCAGTGGCGCAGCTTCCCCGGAAGAGCCAGCGGCGGCTCCCAGGATGAGCGGGTGGCGATGCCTGCTGCGGCGGCAGCGGCGCTGACAGGACTCTATGCCTTTCCGGCTGCTCCTTCCGTTCGGGCTCCTGTGCGTGCTGCCGCCCCTGCACCATGGTGCGCCAGGTCCCGACGGCACCGCGCCCGACCCTGCCCATTACAGGTGAAAAGGGTCAGGCTGCCAGCTCTTCCGTCGTCCGGGTGTGGGAAGCGCGGACCCGGGTCCCGTCCCCTCAGCTGCCATAGCGGGACCCTCACTGCGACTGCCACGGGTTCCCCACTGGACCCCGGAGGAAGGCAGCTGCTGACTGCCACCTGGAAACCCCCCCATCCCCATGACTCCCTTACTTGGTTCCGTTGTTCTGGCCCCTTGCCTTATTTGTCGTCCTGCCCTCCCTCACCAGGGAGCGAGTCAAGGCCATGTTCTACCACGCCTACGACAGCTACCTGGAGAACGCCTTTCCCTACGATGAGCTGCGACCTCTCACCTGTGACGGGCATGACACCTGGGGCAGGTAGTGCCCGTGGAAGGGCAGGAGGCGGCCGGGGTGGGAGCTGTGGCCCTAGGCGGGAGCATCGACCCTGGCTGGTATGGCTTCCTAGTTCCCCACAAGTGCTGGACGCTGCTTTTTCCTCCATTCCCCACGCAGCGGGCAGGGCCCTGCCTCTGCTCAGACCCCTCAGGAACAAGCACCAGGTGTGGGTGGGAGAGGACTGGGACACGATCTGAGAGTCACAGAAAGGACTTCGTGGGCCAGAAAACCCAGCCCCTTCGTTTCACGGGTGGGCAGGCAGGTGTAGAGGGGTGATGCAGTGAGTGTGCCCCTGGACTGAAGCACACCCCGCCCATGTCTTGGCTCCGTTACCTACACGGCCACAGGTCACTGTCCCCAGAGACCTGCTTTCGTTTACTCTACAGCACTTTTCAATCTCTCTCCTCCGCTGTCATTTTCACTTGTCTACTGGTCTTGTCGCTCTCATTTCCACAGAATAAAACCTGTGAGAAGTGGAATTCTCTGTCTTGTGCCTTGCTCAGTGAAGAATCATTGTATTAGTGGGAGCATTTTATTATTATTTTAGGTTTATTTATTTGAAAGAGACCTTCCGTCTGCTAGTTCACTCTCCAAATGACTCCGACAGCCTGGTCTGAGATTAGGAGTCAGAAACTCCATTTGGGTGTCGCACACAGCAGGAAAGGGACTCCCATATTTAGTTCATCTTCTGCTGTCTTCCAGGCACATTAGCAGGCAGCTGGATTGGACACAGAAGAGCTAGGACTCACACCTGCCCTCTGACATGGCTGTGCAGCAATACTGCCCTTGGGCTGAGCATCTACTGTCATCTCATTTTGCTCCTGTACACATTCGGTCCCATTATCCCTGCTTTCAGAAATGTATGTCCATGATATCATTCCCACCTGCATGAAGGACTGGAGAAGTTACATTCAGAATTTGTACCAGTTCTCATGTTTAAGTTGGAAAAAAAAAAAATAACTACAAACAAGTGGCAAATTTAAGCAGTACAAAATAAATCACAATAAATATTTTTCATGCCTTCCCAGAACTGTAATCACTGTTAACTTTACTGCCAGAAATATGTTTATACTCTTTTCCAAGTGCATATGTATGTTTCATTTTAAAGTTAATTTTTGGAAGGCATCATTTACGTTTAATCAAATATGCTCACTGTAAGTGTGTAGGAGCCATCATCATAGTCAAAATACAGAACACTTCTGTCACCCTAAAAATTGCCTTTGTGTCTTTTGAAAATTCATCCCTTCACTACTACCGGCCCTCACAAGTACTAACCTGTATGTCTCTGAAATACAGATGGAAAGAGACTCTGCTACCGATTCTGTCCCTTGCCATTTTCATGAGTAAGTTCCCGCATGTGGAACTCGTGCTAACAATCTTTTTGATAGCATCCTGGTTTTGGCACCGTTTGTATTACAGATTCATTCCTCTTCACCTGACTGCCAGTTAGCTTCTTTCCAGCATTTTGTTGTTCCCACGAACGCTGCCCTGAGTTCTCTGATAACAACTGTGCAGAGTAGGATTCATTCCTAAATGAGGGATTGCTAAAAAACCCAAAACCCTATGCTCTTTCCTACAATCTTATGTTGCCTCCCCATGGCAGAAAAGAATATCAGAGAACGGAGGTGGTGTGGGTCATTATCGGCCCAGCCACCTCACCACTCAGGTGTAGTGAGTAGGTCAGAAACCCTGGCGATTTGTGCTGTCACTTCGCCCCTACAACTACCCAAGTAGGCTGGGTGGAGGTGTGAGTGTACCTCATTTTAGTTTTGGGTGGGGTATGAGCTAGGGAAAGCCATAACATCTGGTGTTTCATTCTCTTACTAAGAAGTTGGCATTTCTGTTCTACAGTTTCTCTCTGACTCTCATTGACGCTCTGGACACCTTGCTGGTAAGTAATCTATTGCGTTTCCTCAATTGCTCTATCCATGGCTTTCCTCTTTTGATAGCCTGACTGTGCAAGATGTGAATTCCTCTGCCTTTAGCCCAGCTGACAAAAGGAAAACAATGAAATCCAACTTCCTCGGGCTCTGGCATTTAGGAGACATGAATGGGTACCTGTTTTGTGCTGAGAATTGTGGTAGGTGTCTGTAATTGCAGGCAATGGCTTTGACTCACTATGCCACAGTGCTTGCCCAGAACATCATCTTTAAAAATGCCATGAGAGAGCTTTTAACAGTTTTCCACCTTTTCGTTAACTCTAGTTCTATGTCATCTGTTCTCCTTCTCATGTATGACAGGTCTTTAAAATTTTTTTGTGGAAAATGTGTATTATGAAAAGCTATGTATGAATCTCAAACATTTTTTTTGCACTCAAGTGAACATAGCTTTTAGTTGCATTTCCATGGATTTTTTTTTTTTTTAAGTTCTCTTATATTGTTAGTGTGTTTTGGGCTGATCACCATGTAGACACAATTTAGTCTGTGTTTCTTTCTCTTGCTTATTGCTAATTTGTATTTGTGCATCCAGTAGTTATTGAGGACCAGATGTGTAGGAAGCACAGCGCTAGACCCTGGGGTTATCATCCTGAGTTTAAATAGAGGTTGTCTCTGCTTGCCTGGAGTTTACGATGTTAGTGAGGGAAACAACAAATCAAAGCATAACTTCAGAACATTTTTTTTTATTGCAAATTAAGATGAGTGCTGTGTAGGAAAGGGACACACATCTCTGAGTGGTTGTCATGAAAGAATCTGATCTGGGCTGAGGAGGTCTGGAGGACTTCCCCGAAGTTGTAAGATGACTTGTGAATGGGGATCTGAAAGAGAAACAGGCATCAACCAGGAGAGTGGAAGAGGAAAGAGTTCTAAGTGATTTGTACAGCCTGTGCAAAGCCCATGTGGTAGGGGTGGTGAGCTGAAGGAAGACTGGCGTGCCTGGGGTATGGAGAAAGAAAAGGAAGCCATCAAGTGAAGTTAGAGTGACAGAGGCCAGAGGATATAAATGTTGTATGTGCTCTAAAGGGCAAGATTTTGATCTTTAATCTGAGAGTGATGGAAAGTCACTAAAATTTCCCAAGGAAATGGTGAGATTTTTCTTTTGTGATCATTAACTGTAGTGTAAAGAAATAACCACATAGTCATTGACCAAACATTTTTTGAGTAATTGCCTCGTGAGCTGTGCTTGGCACCCCAAAGGAATGAGTGAGGCTTCTGCCTATACAGAGCTGTCCTCAGCGTGGAAGTAAATGGATGTCCTAAGAGTTGTGTGAATGAAATTCTTGTGCTCCTCTAAAGGAAGAAGAGGTTAAAGGAGAAACCAAAGGCTTCCTGAAATAAAGGGACATTTAGACAATCTACACTAAGTTGGATTTGTAAAGGGATAACACCCCAGAGTGGTTTCCTGTCTGAAGGCAGGAAATGGGGAAGTGGCCTGTACAGCTTTATTAAAGATGGTTAGGTGAATGGTGCAAGACGTGGACAGAAGGAGGGGTTGTGTACACACCAAAGATACTGAGTCAGGATGTGTTGGTTGCAAGGGCCTGGAGACCCAATTCATATAGATTTGGATAAAATGGAAATGTACTCAGTCAGATAACTGCAAAATCCAAATAGACTGATCTTAAACTCAACTGGCAAATGATGTCATCCCAAGTCTTGTTTTCCATCTCTTTATCTCTGCCTTCTTTGCTGGCTGTATCTCAGGCTTTCCACAGCCCACAGGGTATCCAGTGGGAACTCTTCTGATATTCCACTCATTTAATCGCCTTAGTAGAGAAAGAACCACCCCTTTTCCATTAATTCCAGAGCTTCTGACCAGTCTAGGTCAAGTGCCATTGCGTAGCTGGGGAGGTGAAGTCGACTTCCCTCAGATAACAGGAGTGACAGTGGGATAAGGGTGTTTCCAAGGGAAAATTGTGGTGTTATTTTCAGAAGAAAAATTATTGAGATTGTGTTTGGCTGATGGTTAAACCAAGAACATTTTTTTTCTTAAGTAAAAATCTGGAGGTATTTTCTAGCATTGCATCAACCACTCAACTGTGGTCTCAGAGACCTAAGTTCTTTGTATCTCCCACTATAGCATCATATTAGTTGGATTTCATTCACATGTGTAGTACCCTGTGGCCTAACAAAGCTGCTACAATGTCAAAAAGCCAATCTGCTTTCCTAGCAGAAAGATAGAGGAATAGTAAAAGCTGTGCCAGCTGTATTTATCCCTTACTATTAGGAAAATGGAAATTAGAATTAGAGATAGAGGGAGAGAGAGAGATAAAAGAGATCTTCCATCTGTTGGCTCACTCCCCGAATGAATGTAATGGCTAAGGCTAGACCAGGCTGAAGTCAGGAGCTTTATCCTGATCTTCCGGATAGATACAGAAGTCTAAGTATGTGGGCTTCACTGCTTTCTCAGTGCTTTCATTAGCAGGGAGCTGGATTGGAAGTGGAGCAGCCAGAATGTTTATGGGGTGCTGGCATTATAGTAGAGTCTTAACCTATTACTCCACAGCACCAACTCCAGAAGTATCTAGATTTCTAACTTCTGGAATGTCATGGGTTAAAGAAGTTAGTGAGGCAATCTAATGCCCACTGACCTGTAATATTTTCCACAAGGCTAAATATGACAAGAATATGGCACCCACTGCAAATATCAAACTGAAACTTTTGTAGTCTCCATCTTTTTTGGGGGGGGTTGGATCCATTTATATGGATGCATAGAGCCTCTTGAATTGATACCTAGTTATTGGCTAAGCCAGCATCTTGAATTCTAGGTGAATTCTGGTCCTCAGTGCTTTCTTCCCCATATCTCTAGTCCTAGGACAGAAACTGGAAGTCTGCAGTTGAATAAGTGAGGGCCACACCAGGACAGGATCCCAAACTCCTGAGTCTAGCCCCCACAGAGAGGTTCACTGCCAAGTGTCTGTTTGCTTGCAGATTTTAGGGAATGTCTCAGAATTCCAAAGAGTGGTTGAAGTGCTCCAGGACAATGTGGACTTTGACATCGATGTGAACGCCTCCGTCTTTGAAACCAACATTCGAGGTGAGGGTTCCTCCGAGGGCCTCGAAGAAAACGTGGTGTGGAGGAGCCACTGTGCCAAGAAAGAGGGGGTGAAGAGGCTCCTAATGATCTACCCTACCTGGCATGGGACCTCCTGACTGACAGGGCATTCTCTCTGTGGCAGGGTGTGGGGTGGGGGTGGGGAGTGAGGGGTTTCTTGAGATTTCCCTTTGGTTTCAGACAGGAAATAGAGCAGAGACTGGGAAGAAAGAATGCTAAAGCTACTCTTGTATTTGACATATATTTGATGCTAGGCTTGTAACTATGAGCCAAAACCAAACAAAAAACAAAACCTAATGCCTGTCTGCTCAATAGAATTTTCTGTCTTGAGGGGCAGTGACATCTGTGTTTTTTAATATCGTGACCACTCCAATCGCATGAGCTCTTAATTGGACGTCTGTGCCCACTACAACTGAAGAAGTGAATTTTTCCTTCCTTTTAATTTTATTGAATTTAGATGGTTAGATATTGTAACTAGTCCTCTGTGACTAGCAGTTCAATAGGCTTATCCAGGGTATTAGTTGCCAAACTTGGCTGTCCCAAAAAATCACTTAGGGCCTTTTAAAATGCTCGGATGTCAAGGATCCACCCTCAACTTAATGAACTGGGATCTTTGGGTTGGGTCCTAGAAGCAGTGTTTTTCAGATTTCCAACTGTTGTTGCAATACTACCACAGTCCGTAATTACAGGGAATCATTAGACCCTGGTTTAACAGATGTGACCCCTGGGTGGCCGAGTAGGGTTGGCCCCTTCATTTTTGGTGTTTTTTTTTTTTTTTGCAGTGAAATTCACGTTGCTCATCCTTGACACCTAAAAGTTTAATAAATAGCAGAGAGTGGAATGGCAGCACAGTATGAAGTCCTGGTTTAGGAATCAGACTTGGTTTGAACTGTGTTTGTGGCCATGACTCACAACTTCTTGGGCCAGTTTGTGTCCTAATGCGTCAGTTTCAGCTGTGGACATAATTACACCAGTTTCTTTGGATTGACATCTGCCCAATTTATCTTTTTCTACCCTTTCATTTTCAATATCTTTTGTAAATACTGTATCGTCTTTTATTTGACCATTCTGACAATTTGTTAGGCCACCGTGTCAGGCCCTGCTGTTACTGTTTTTTTTAATTTGTTTGTTTGTTTGTTTTACTGTAGTAGCTTCTTGTGCCTCAGACCTTGACAGCTGTGAGCCTTAGCTTTCTCACAGAGCTACTTTCTTCAGCGTGTGCCTGGTGAGGGTGTGTTCTTGGCCAGCTATCCCAGCTTTTGTTTGTATGAGAATGTCTCTGTCTTGCTGTCTGGCCCTGGCGAGAATTTTGGGAGGATTTGGATATAGATTGATAGTTATTTTCTTCTGGTATATTGAAAAACTATTTCCAATGTCTTCTAGTTTCTTGTTGCAAAGAAATAATCTGTCAATTGAATGGTTATTTTTCTTGTAGATAATCCATCCACTTGGTTGTTCCTTCTAAGAAGTTGTATTACAAAAATTTTCAAACCTATGAGTAAACAGTGTAATGATTTGATGTCTTCCTCCTCGCCTTAGTCCCACTGACTCTGGCTGCATTTGAGTTCTTTTTTTCCTTTCGTGTTCTGCAGTGTTTCTTCAAGGCATATAAACGTGGAGTCCTTTCTTTACTTAGATTTCTTGGGTCTGGGAATTGTCTTTGTTCCGTCGTTTGAGGGAGTTGCTATTTCCTCTCCATCTGCTTCTCCTCCATTTTCTCCCTCTCCTGTGTTTAGAAGCCCAGCATCATATATGTTCCACTTTCTGTCTTCTCCAACTTTCTTTTGTGGTTTTTTCTTTTGAGAAATATTTTGTCTCTTCATGTTATGTTTTTGGATAGATTTTTTGGGGGGATCTGTATTCAGGTCCAAGGATTCTCCCTTCAATTATCTGTTATTAAAACTATCCATGTAATTTAAAATATATAATTTTTTTAACTTTTAGAAGTTGGTGGTTCTGATATAAGGATGCTTGATCAGTTTTATAATTTCTTGCTACTTATGTATCTATCTTGACCTCTTTTATTTTTTCAAGATTGATTTATTAATTTTTATTGGGGCGGCAGATTTACAGAGAGAAGGAGAGACAGAGTGAAAGAAAGATCGTTCATCTGCTGGATCACTGCGCAAGTGCCTACAATGGCCAGAGCCAAGCTGATCTGAAGCCAGGAACTTCTCCCTGGTCCCCCATGCAGGTTCAGGGTCCCAAGGCTTTGGGACGTCCTTGACTGCTTTCCCTGGCCACGAGCAGGGAGCTGGATGGGAAGAAGAGCAGCTAGGCACCTATATGGGATCCTGGCACTTTTAAGAAGAGGAATTAGCCCCTGAGCCATCACTTCAAACCCTCCCTTATTTCTATAAGTATATTGCATACAATTCTTTTCTATTCTGGTTTTGGTACTTCAGTACCTGAAATGGTAGTAAATCTTATTCTACTGCTGTTTTACTGGCTCTTATTCATAACATTCTGTTTCCTTGTATTTTTTGTGATTTTAAAATTTTAGTTATTATCACATAAAAACAAAAACAACCAACCAACCAACCCAAAAATCTCCCACCAAACTGTCTGAGGTTCTTTGAGGCCTAGACTGAATGTGAGTTGTTCCAGGTATTTTTTCTCTTTCTGCTGTGTGATGGAAAGCACCAGCTGCCAGAACTCACTGCAGTGATACAAGTGTGTGTTTTTGCAGTTTCTCCAGTTTGTGTGACTTCTGACTACAAAAAAATAGTGAGTAACAGGTTGTGGTTACTACTGATTGGGGGAGCTGTGTTTTTCCTTTCTTTCCTTTGACCCCAAGATGTGAGGTGTGTATTTTGCTTTGTACTAGGAGAAATAAATCCATCTGTATACAGATTACATGGTTCTCTCAGCACCCCTCTACACACACTTAAAAAAAAAACAAACCCAGACTTCCCTCTTTGGGCAGGTAGTGGCTCTCTGTTCTCTCCCTGTGCTCCCACTAGGAGCAGGCAGCTCAGCAGCACTTGTTGTGTTCACTTACGAGAGTCCTTTGGGAGATCTGTTTTACCATAGTTCTAGATGCGGAATGTGTGTCTCTTTTTGTAAATCCTAAATATTGCATCCTAAGTTGAAGTGGATCAATTGATAGAACGAAGGTGACAGAGTCACAAAGTGAGAGTGTGGGCTTTGGAATTACTGGCTACTAACAGGAGTGACCCAGGGTAAGCCACACTAGCTCTCTGAACCCTCAGTATCTTCATCTGATGAAGGTACAGGAATACTTAGTATATTAGTGAATGACACATAATAGGGACTTAAAAAAAAAAAAAGAAACGCTAGCTCTTGTCCTTGTGACCTACTGAGAGAAGAAAACCTGACATGTAGCACTGTGATGGATGGAGCGGCTGTTTTTTCCCTCGCTGGTCCCAGCCCCTTCCCAGTGGGCCACCCCTGTGGTGTGTTTCGGTTACTCTGTGTAGAGGGGGCTGTGACACAGGATTCCTGTGTCCCCTGCAGTGGTTGGAGGACTCCTGTCTGCTCACCTGCTGTCAAAGAAGGCTGGAGTGGAAGTGGAAGCCGGATGGCCCTGTTCTGGACCTCTCCTGAGGATGGCCGAGGAGGCTGCTCGCAAACTGCTTCCAGGTAAGAACCACGCAGGGGTGCAGCGGGGTGGGCTGGGAAGGGGGAGATGATGTCCGTTAGATCCCACCTCCCTTCTTAGGATGAGGGAGACAGTGCTGAATGATCTCCCGATGGTTCTTCTGCTACTCCCTAACACCAATCAGGGAAATCAGGGGAATCAGAGCATGGTGAGGGTTTGCAGGCCCTGGTCCAGGATGGATTATGTGATCACATAACTAACCCCATTACTGAGGACAGCCTGGTGAGGAGATAGTCATTGCTTTCCTTATTTTAATTTTTGAAAAATTCATTTGAGAGATGCAGAGAGAAAGAACCCCCAGCTGCTGGTTTATTTACTCCCCAAAATGTTCACAGTAGTGGGGACTGCTGAAGCCAGGAGCTGGGTACTCAGTCCAGGTTTCCCCTGTGGGCGGCAGGGATATCATTATTTGAGCCAACGCTGAATCCTCCCTAGGACCCAGATTGATAGGAAACTGCAAACAAGACCTGGTCAGAGAACTGAGGAATTTAAGTATGTGAGTGACAACACAAGCCGTTCACCTCCCCAGCGGAGACCTTGTTTCTAAGGAAGCTGTGTCTCTCCCTCTGCCAGGTTCACTCACTAGACAGCAGCAAAGAGCCTGGGTCTCAGCATTAGAATCCCTGGAGTTCTAGACTCGGCTCCACACACCAGCTCCATGACCAAACCTCCCTTTGTCTCCATGGTACCACTTCTCCATCTGTCAGATGGAGATTGTAGTCCCTGTGTCCCTGCCACATTTTGTTTTGTTTGGGCAGGTTGAATTGAGTCTTGAAAGGATTACTGACATGAGGAAGAGGTTAGTTTTGTGGCTAACCTGTGTCTAGGACTGCAACCAAAGCCACTGTGTTTTTGTCTAGTGGGACAGTCACACTGGCTTCAACAGCAGCAGCATTTGAACACTGTGTTCCGTTCAGGGTGTGGTGGAGGCCCAAGGGGCCCTTCACACCCAGACACGTCACAGGGTTCTCCCACTAGCTGCTTGTCCATCTCACTCGCTCAGCCCTTCTAGACAGTGCTCGCCCATCTCTCTAGGGAAAGCTTGAGGAGAGCAAGTGAGCTGTGTTGGGGTCCCAGCCAGGGTGCGCGGCCCAAGTAATGCCTTGCAAGCATCATGTCCCTGTGAGAGTCATCCCAGAGGAAACTCTGCCTAGTGTTCCTTCATTAAAAATAATGATACATTCTGAATATTGATAAGTACATACTGAATCATGATGGAGCCAGGCCAGAAGATAGGAGTCTGTCACTCCACTCCTCTTTCATACAAATTGACTTTCCCTAGAATAGTCCTTGGAGCTCTTTTGAATTGCAACTCGCATTTTCCTTACTTGCCACCCATGACTGCCACGTAGTGAGAGTCTTGTCTAGAGCAGAAGTAGTTCTGGGCCTCATATTTCTTGGAAGTTTTGACTGTTTTGTTTATGGTTTGGTGACGCACAGATTGCCCTAGGATTCTTTGACCTCTTGGCCTGGGGAGGAAATCTCTGCCTCTGGCTCAAGTCTTGCATTGAATGGGAAGGGCAGAGCACTGGCTGGCATGGGCTGTGGGCGGAGGGCAGGGGTCTCTCCTCTGTGGCCTTGGCTACAGCTGCCCTTTTTTATAAGCACAGTTTTCTCCACCTGTCCTTGTGGGATGTAGTGTACCGATGAATCTTTCTGTTGTTTTCTTTTTTTAAAAAAAATAGCTTGGTCCCTAAACTATTTGTTTATAAAACCAGGGTTTTAAACTGAACTCTCTTTGACCATTGAGGGTCAGCAAGATCTATTTCATTCAGCTGTTTCTTTTAAAAAGTCAATGATGGTTTCTGAGAAGGCTTTTTGTTGCTGTTGGTGGTGGTGGTGGTGTGCTACGTGTCCTCCTGTGCTGTAAGGTGTAAACCCTGCCTGCTTCACAATTAGCTGCCTGCCTGCCATTGGAAGACATAATGAAAAACAATGAAACTCCGCTGCTTGAGCCGAAATGAGCATACGTGGTGTGTGACATGCCCTGGACAGCCCTCTCTCTGCCCCCTCACTACAGTTTTCTGCTCTAGACAGGACTCTCGCTACATGGCAGTCATGGGTGGCAGGGTTTGATGACTTCTCTTGGAACCCTTCAGTTGTGGTGGTGAGCTTTCTCTGTCTCAGACTCTAGCAGATAGCCCAGGAGAGAAAGTCGGAAATGCTGGCCAGGGTGTTGGGTGTGGGCTCATGTCCAAACCAGCACTTCCTCGCTGCTCCTGACCAAGGTCATCATATTCTGATTATTCAGCCTTTCAGACTCCCACTGGCATGCCTTATGGAACGGTGAATCTGCTTCACGGGGTGAACCCAGGAGAGACCCCAGTCACGTGTACGGCAGGCATCGGGACCTTCATTGTGGAATTTGCCACCCTGAGCAGCCTCACTGGTGACCCTGTGTTTGAAGATGTGGCCAGAGCAGCCCTGATGCGCCTCTGGGAGAGTCGGTCGGATATTGGCCTGGTAGGGTGGTCCTTGGCCCTCTGACTGTGGGAGCCAAGTTCATATCTCGACTGAACCAAAAGAAATGTGGATGGGGGCCCGGCAGTGTGGCTAAGGTCCTTGCCTTGAATGCACCGGGATCCCATATGGTCACCGGTTCTAATCCTGGCAGCTCCACTTCCTCTCTATCTCTTCTCCTCTCTGTATATCTGACTTTGTAATAATAAAAAAAAAAAAGGAATGTGGATTGGCCACACAAGTGATCTGGGATTTGGGCTCAGGATAGAGGGAATTATGCCAAGCCCAGATCTGAGTTCAGCACAGAACTGGGGAGAGTCTGGGAACAGGGACTGTGTGAAGGTTTGGCCACTTGGGATTCTCTGAATTTTGTCCCCTGACTCATTCAGTGACCTTAGAGTGTCATGGAACCCTATGTTTAGTGTCTTTGTTTGTGAAGCTACATTTCTTAGAACACCAGTTCTGAGAGATGTTGAATGGCTGTTCCATGAAAATGTGACTCCAGGCCAATTGAGTTTGGTGACAGCATGGAATATCCCCCACACACATACATCCTTTTTTATATATATATATATTTATTTATTTTTATTTGAAAGGCAAGATTACATTTGGTTCACTATCCAAGTGGCTGCAATGGCCAGAACTGGGCCAGACCAAAGCCTGGAGCCAGGAGCTTCTCATGGGTCTTCCATGTGAGTACAAGGATCCAAACATTTGGGCCATCTTCTGCTACTTTCCCAGGCACATGAGCAGGAAGCTGGATCAGCAGTGGAGCAGCTGAGACTCAAACTGGTCCCCGTATGGGATGCCAAGGCTGCCATAGCACCTACCTCTTCCCCCCGCTTTTCTTCTTGAAGAGTCATAATGAATGTGAGAGTAAAGGTTATAAAATTCCAGAGTATGAAACCTTTAATTTTGACAAATTCAACATTTCCCAAAGTGATTTGCTCCCCAAACTTCCTCTTGCCTTCTGATGTGACCATGAAATGATAATGCACTTTGGGCCAGATGAGCTTGGCAATCAGAGAGAGCTCCTCAGCAGTAACTGAGCCAGAGCTATCCAGGAAATAACGCTGGATTTAGTCAGAAGCCAGCTCAAGCCCTGGCCTTACTACGTCAAAACTGTGACCCTGGGCAGGTTACTCAGCCTCTCTGGTCCTCAGTTACTTCAGAGGTGGCAATACTCTGCTGATTCAATATGATGTAGACTGTGTTTGTCAGGGATTCGGGCCCAGGCACGTTTTATGGAAAGTCAGCTTGCAAAGTGAAGCTTGTATAAGGGATCCTTGAAAATCCCCTCAGGAGGGGCCACTCCACAGACCTACGATGACTGTGTGAGTGAGCCACACACCCAGCGTGTCATGTGGCCCCAGGCACACTCGCAGCCATCGTCAGGGACTCTGCCTCAGGGGCTTCCTTGAGTATGGTTGGAAATCCAGGACTCATGCGGACTGATGCCAGTGTATGATACCATTGGGGGTTTGTGGGTAAAACATTCTAGCTCCCCACCCCTTGAGTGAGATCACCCCATGGCCCATGTCTCTACCGAGTCCCAGAACAGGACTGAATTGTCGGTCTGGAGGAGGAAATGTGCATGTTCATGCTTTCTTTTTTTTATGACTTATTTTATTATTATTAGAAAGGCAGATATACAGAGAAAAGGAGAGACAGAGAGAAAAATATTCTGTCTGCTGGTTAACTCCCTAAGTGGTCACAGTGGCTGGAGCTAAGCCAATCCTAAGCCAGGAGCCAGGAGCTTCTTCCAGGTCTCCCATGCAGGCACAGGATCTCAAGGCTTTAGGCCTTCCTTGACTGCTTTTCCAGGCCACAAGTAGGGAGCTTTGTGTGAGGTAGAGCGGCTGGAACACAAACTTGCACCCATATGGGACCATGTTGCATGCAAGTTGAGATTGTAGCCATTGAGCCATGGTACCAGGCACCCCGCCCCACTCACATTTTCATTCCAGGGAGCTCACAAGCCCCTTCCCATCAGTGTTTTGAAGAAGTCACCTTCTACCACTGCTGCTTCTGCTTCCTCCTTCCTGAGTCTCCGCTCCTTGGAGAACCCGAACTACTGGCACAGTTTGCCGTTTATGTGTGTACCCTGTGAAGTCATCTGCTTCTGGGCAAGTTTAATGAAAGCACATGTCTTCATTGAAATTCTTCGAAATTTATACACATACACACACATGTAGATATTTATTTATTTATTTATTGGAAAGGCAAATATTCAGAGAGAAGGAGAGACAGAGAGAAAGATCTTCCGTCTGCTGGTTCACTCCCTAGGTGGAGCTGAGCCGATCCAAAGCCAGGAGCCAGGAACTTCCTCAAGGTTTCCCATGCAGATGAAGTCCCAAATCTTTGGGCTATCCTTGACTGCTTTCCCAGGCTACAAACAGGGAGCTGAATGGGAAGTGGAGCAGCAGGAATTAGAGCTGGTACCCATATGGGATCCTGTTAGTCAAGGTTTTAGCTATTTTGCTAGGCCCCTAAAATTTTATATTTAAAAACCTTTACAGCCATATGGTTCAGGAGTCAGAGGATACAAAGACACCCTGTGACCCTGGTAGCAGTGCTCTTTCCCCTGTCCCTCAGCTATCTAAGTTTTCCCTTGGAAATAACTACTCTTGGGACTGGCGCCAAGGTTTAACAGGTTAAGCTTCTACCTGTGATGCCAGTATCCCAAGGGTCACTGGTTCCAAACCTGGCTGCTCCACTTCCAATCCAGCTCCCTTCTAATGTCCTGGGAAGAGCAGGAAACAGTAGCTTGGGCCCCGATACCCATTTGTAAGACCTAGGTGGAGCTCCTGACACCTGGCTTCAGACTGGCTCTGCTCTAGGTGTTGTGGCCATTTGGGTAGTGGACCAGCTGATGAAAGACCTTTCTTTCTGTCTCCTTCTCTATAAATCTGCCTTTCAAATAAAAATAATATGAATCTTTAAAAAATTAGTCAATCTGATTGATGGCTTTAGACACCAGTATCACATGCCAGGTGCAGAAAAGTCAAGCAGATGGTGGGAATAGCTTATTTTCTTGGCAGAGTATAAGCAGTCAGATCATTCACCTTTGTTTGTTTGTTTTTTGTTTTGTTGGAAAAGTATATTTACAGAGAATGAAATAACAGAGAAAAAGATCTTCCATCCTCTGGTTCACTCCCCAAGTGGCTGCAACGACCAGAGCTTCTTCCAACTGTCCTACATGGGTGCAGGGTCCCAAGGCATTGGGCCGTCCTCTACTGCTTTCCCAGGGCACAAGCAGGTTTCTGAATGGGAAGCAGGGCTGCTGGGATACAAACTAGTGCCTATATGGAATCCTGGCTCGTACAAGGCAATGATTTAGCCCCTGAGCCATTGCACTGGGACCAACTTTCTTTTTTAAGATTTATTTATTTACTTGAAAGACAGAGTCAGATAGAGAGTGAGAGGGTGAGAGAGAGAGTGAGTGAGAGAGAGAGGTCTTCCATTCCTAAATGGTTGCAATGGCCTGTTCAAAGCCCAGAGCTTCTTCCTGGTATATCATGTGGGCTAATGGGCCCAAGAACTTGGACCATTCTTTCCTGCCTATCTAGACAGACGATCCAGTAGCTGAAAGTACTGTAACCAGTACTGAAACTGGTGCTCATATGAAATGCCAGTGCCATAGGCAGCTGCTTTACTTGCTATACCATGGTGCCATTGATCTTTTTTTTAAAGATTTATTTGAAAGGCAAATTTTACAGAGAGAAGGAGAGACAGATCTTCCATCTGCTGGTTTACTCTGCAAGTGGCGGAAGCTGAGCTGATCCAAAGCCAGGAGCCAGGAGCTTCTTCCAGGTCTTCCACATGGGTACAGGGTCCTGAGGCTTTGGGCATCTTCTGCTGTTTCCCCTGGCCACAGGCAGAGAACTGGATGGGAAGTGGAGCAGCCAGGACCCCAACCAGTGTCATTTTGGGATACCAGTGCTTGCAAAATGAGGATTTAGTCACTGAGCCATTGTGTCATGCCCCATATTTTTCATCAAGTCTTTGAAAATGTGTATCCACATGTGCAAAAAGGCTGGCTATGATCAAGCTCACCCCTCTTTTCCCATCACCTGTGCTTCGCCGAGGGACCCCAAGGACCTCCAACATGCCTCTCATACCTCGTTGGGCAATCAGAGGGATGGACCCTCCCTGAAACTAATTGTTTTTCTTTTAGGTTGGCAACCACATTGATGTGCTCACTGGCAAGTGGGTGGCCCAGGATGCGGGCATCGGGGCTGGTGTGGACTCCTACTTTGAATACCTGGTAAAAGGAGCCATCTTGCTTCAGGACCAGAAGCTCATGGCCATGTTCCTAGGTAAAAAAGGACAGGCTAAGGGGCTTTCCTCAAGATTTTCCCCTGTTGACTTCTGGCCTATTTATAAATTTCACATTGTTCCCAAGCATCCACAGGATCAATTCACACTACCTGAATCTGCATTCAGACCCACTGTAGACTCAGCACTATCCATTTGATGCCCAGGGTACAGCTGAATGGTGCTGTATCTGAACATGCCTGACCATTGCAGTTGTTTATTTACCCAGAATACCTTTCTTCCTGACATTATGTGTCCAGATTCCCTTCCTCTTTGAAGCCCAGCTTATATGTTCCCTTGATCATATAATTGATCCTTTCTTGGCATAGAAGCATCTTTCCTATGATTGGTTGTCATCCACAATTAACAGCCATCACAGGTGGGTACTGAACCCATGCCCTATTCATCTGTGTATTTCCCCTAATCCTTTGTGTGAGGCAGATGATACGTTGATGCCTGTTGAATAAACATGGCCTAACTTCCAGACCCTCGGACACCAATAACAGGGATTTTAAGGAGTTACTGAACACCCCGTCATCATTAGAGTAGCTACTGTTCACTCACTGAGCAGAATTGCTAAGTGCCATTGATGTGCCAAGCACTGTGCCAGACACTGAACAGGAGCTATTTGATTGACTGTGATGCTGCTTGAGATTATCTTATTTGTGTGTCTATTTGGTGCTTTTTTCATTCTGGTAATATTTACAATGTGCGATTATTAGGCTCTGTCCTGGGGTTGGGAATTGTACATTGAGCAGAATTCTAGCCTGTACAGATTTACTGTCTGGGGAAGAGGTGTAAGGTCATGTTCCCACTGGCACGTAAGTTCCATGAAGGGCTGGACTTTGGTTTACTACCTCCTAGTTGTTTGGTATATAGTAGGTGTTCAGCGAATATTTGTTTCATTAAAAAAATTACTGAAAGTGCCATGAATTGTGCTGTTATTTTCCTCATTTCGTTGAGGTTGGGAGTGAAAACTTGCCCAAGCTCACAGCCGGCAGGCGATGAAGCTGGAGCCAGAAGTTTGACGACAGAACCCAAGCCCCTTTCAAGTCAGCTTACCTCCTTGCAACCTAATCCCACTCTGCGTCCAGGCTGTCAGAGGGATCTTTTGCAAGAGTCCATCCATACCTTTGTTGTCAAAGCCCTAATCACTCACATGCCTGTTATCTCCTCTCCCCTGTAGAGTACAACAAAGCCATTCGGAATTATACTCGCTTCGATGACTGGTACCTGTGGGTACAGATGTACAAGGGAACAGTTTCCATGCCTGTTTTCCAGTCCCTGGAGGCCTACTGGCCTGGTCTGCAGGTAGGAATGATCAAAGGACTTGGTCATCTGGCCATTTTTTCTGTGGGATTGACCAAGGAACTCATTCTGTTGTATACTTCAAATAAGATTCTTTCTTGGCTTAGCACTGTTTCTGTAGAAGAGATATCTAGAGTGAATTAAACAGGCTTATCGTTCTGTTAGAATCTTCCAGGGGGGACATCAAGCCATGTGTACTGTGGGTGGTATTGATCCATTTGCAGTGGGGTAAGCAGAGTCTTCTCAGGCTGGACAAGAGGTGCCCCGGGCATGTCTGTCCACTCTGCTCCCTGACAGTGAGCCTGGGAGGAGCCAGAGAGCAGCTCTGGCTTCTGTGCCTGCTCTGGGGGGGTCACATTCTCAGACATGGTCAGATAAACCTGTGACTGGAAGGATGGGTCTTAGAGCTCAAGGTACCAAAATACTTCATATGCTGAAACAGTTTAATTGAGCTGCTTCATCTTATTTGAAGTATGTAGTAGATGGCAGGGAACCATCTACTAGATTAGAACTGGCACCCATGTGGATCTTGACATGCCAGGCGAGGACTTTAACCACTATGCTATTGCGCCGGGCCCTAATTCCTATTTCTTAAACCTTCCTATTTCTTAACATTTTTGCATGTGTCTGGGGCTTGATGTAATATTTCAATATATACACACATGTTCATGTGTCCCAGTTGTAAACTGACGAACTAGCAATCAGTGTCTCCACTTTCCTACCCTTCCATCTGTCTGCAGCTTCCTAGCTCTTCCCCTCCAGTTTTTCTTTTTTTTACGATTCATTCTTTATTGGAAAGGCAGACCAGGTTTATGCAGAGATGGAAAGACAGAAAAATCTTCTATCCATTGGTTCACTCCCCAAATGGCTACAACAGCAGAGCTGAGCCGAAACCAGGAACCAGGAGCTTCCTCCGGGACTCCCATGCAGGTGCAGAGTTCCAATGCTCTGAGCCATCTTCTGCTGCTTTCCCAAGTCATAAGCAGGGAGTTTGATGGGAAGTAGAACAGCCAGGATACAAACTGGCACCCATATGGAATCCCAGTGCTTGCGTGGTGAGGATTGCCACTGAGCCATTGTGCTGGGCCCTCCTGCAGTTCTTTACACTGACTGCCACACATCATTGTGAGCTCTTTGAGCCGTGTATAGGGGACACAAGAACTCTTCACTTCTGACTGTGTTTGGGTCCCCATTCTCCACTCATTCTCCAACTTCCTGGGTCCTCTTGCCCCTCACCCTTCTTAGGCTTTAGTAGTGACTCTTCTTGGCTCACATTGACTTTTTGTAAACTTCAGTATATGAAAAAGAACCACAATATTTGTCTTTCTGCTCCTCTGAAAAAATAGATGGCAGTCTTTCCTTTATGTATTTTTAGTTCAGAGGCTACTGGTTCATAATATTAAATATTAGTCCAGCTCTCCTAAGAACTTCAAGTGTTACTGCTTAAGAAGATTTTGAAAAACCTTTGCATATTTTTAGTTTTTCTTTTAAAATGTTTATTTTTATTTAGTTGAAAGTCAGAGTTACAGAGAAAAGGAGAGGAAGAGAGAGCGAGGGAGAGAGAGAGGGGGGATCTTCTACCTACTGGCCCCAAATGGCTATAACAGCCAGGATTGGGCAGATCTGAGGCCAGGAACCAGGAGCTTGTTCAGGTCTCCACAGAAAGCCCAGCCTCTTGCCATCCTCTACTGCTTTTCCAGGCACATTAGTAGGGAGCTGAATTGGAAGTGAGGCATCCAGGGATGGAGTGTGATGTTCTAGAGAGAAGCAAAACCCTGCCCTGGGGCAGGAAATGGTTGAATGCGTATCAGCAACAACAGCGGTAGTGGCCACAGTCCAGGGCAGGAGAAAGTGTAGTCAGGCAAAGATCAGCAGTGACTTGACTCCACAAGGTACCTTGGCTTAATGCTGTGCCTATGGCCGGCCTGAGAAATCTGGTGGATACGATGAAGTAGAGTTGGAAAAAGGGACCAACCAGGTAGCCTTTGAGGTCCTTCCGCTGGGAGATGCCTGTGACCAAAATGGTAGCTCTGTAGATTAAAATTCTTAATGTCTTAAAGATGACATTAGTAGACATAGCTGATGGAACTAATAGGTGGTAAGGAGGAAGGGAGGAGCCAGGAATGACCACCAGGCTTCAGAAGGACCAGTGGTCAGAGTATGGCGCAACCATGTGGGAAAGTGAAAGAAACAAGAATTTTGCCTGAGGCTTGGCAAAATTTGTTCTAGTCCATGAGACACCCAGTGGAGATGTCGAGGTCAGATGCTTCCCTATGAGCTCATGTTAATAATTTATTACAGTGGTTATTAAAGTTTCACATGCACATATCCTCTGACCCAGAAGTCCCAATTCTGGAAGTTTATCTTTCAGATCCACTTTGCATATGCTCAAAATGACATATGTACCAAGGGTATTTGTTGCACTGTCAATTGTTACTACAAATAGCAGAAGACTGGAGCCAAGCCAAACAACTATGAATAGGAAACTGGCTAAATTTGGGTCCAAGAAATAGAATACTATGCAAGTGTAAAAATAGGAGGAAGGAACTTGAACCACTTGCATGGCAAAAATTTACATGTGTAGTTAAATGAATAAAGGAAAGTGCAGAGCAATGTATAGTATCTCTATTTATACTATAGAGAATGTAATATATGCTCCCTTTTTATGTTTACTTGAAGAAACTCTGAAAGATTATATGAGAAACTAATAAATGATTATGTGTTGTGGATATGGGATGGGAATGAGACTTAACACCAGCAAATTTTCCTTTGTTCTTCAAATTTTGAGGCAGCTGGTGTTAGGTCCAAAAGATCCCCAAGCCATGGACAGACAAGTTTCACATGCAACAATGCAAAAACAAAGAAACTTAATTGCTAGCTCGAGCTAGGGTCCATGTCTCTTCCATCACAGTGGAGTCTTGACAAGGACCCCGCTTGTCTCTTGCAGACTGTTTTTGTTCTCTCCTAGTCACATACAACACATCTCCAGCAAGTGGTTTCTTACCTTAACCACATCACGTGTGGACCTGTGGATGCCCATGATTGGCCCAATTCCCAATGCTGTTCCCCACTGCCCACTCTGTCACTCTGAGGAAAATGAAACTTTGGAGTGAAGTGAAACTTCAGCCTACTCTCTGACCTTGGGCCTATCATGGTATCAGTCCTGTTCTTTTTGCAGCAAAGCCAAGCAGTGATTACAGAAGTCAAGTACGGTGGTTATGTACTATTTATCCCTAATGACCTTTTAACACTACTGTTGTTAAGAGTAAATCCTCACCACCCAGCCTTGCACCTACAATTCCACACTGGCTGAATTCAATAACTGTGGGCGGCGAACACTGACTATGAAGGTCTAGGGATTAGTATTCCTCCTCTGTTTCCCTCAGTGGTGTGAGAGAGAGCTATGATATTTTGCGTTTTACACAAGGGGTTTTTTGGCTCCAGAGGCCTTGCATTGTCTCCCTGGCCTGAGGTCATGTGTCTGATGCCTGCCTGCCTTGACAGCCCCTTGTCTCCCACAGAGCCTCATTGGGGACATTGACAATGCCATGAGGACCTTCCTCAACTACTACACTGTATGGAAGCAATTTGGGGGTCTCCCAGAGTTCTACAACATTCCTCAGGGATACACGGTGGAAAAGCGAGAGGGCTACCCACTGCGGCCAGGTGAGCAGCATCTCCAACTCCTGTAACCCTGAGCTTCCACTCATATCCCCACAAAGAAGCACTAGCCTTGAGAGTGCTCCCGAGGGTGTGTGTGTGTGTGTGTGTGTGTGTGTGTATGTATATATTTTTTCCATCTGAGCCCTCCAGTGGCTCTGGTTGGTTTTCCTACTGGAAATTGTTGATCCCCTTCCGGGTTTATGAGATCATGGAGACCTTAATCCCATCTAGCATCCATATGCTTGGCCAAGTTTGGGACTGTTACTGTAGGAGAGAGGAAGAGTACATACTGGGCAGGTGGTAGCCTCTGCCAGCTTTTTTATCTCTGAGTCTGTTGCCCTTATCTCCCCTTGGGGGGAGTCCACAGTCAGCCTCCATGCTGGTCTCAGTTGCACTTCAGGCTTTTGGTATACTGGGCTCTGAAAACTTGACATTGGGGTGAGTTCTTCCTAACTGGGGGGCCAAAGGTAAGGTTATAGAGGGGACTCCCAAATGGACCCCAGGCCATCCTGCTCAGCCATGGTTTGTGAGGAAGGTTTTTTCGGCTTTTGCAGAACTCATTGAAAGCGCCATGTACCTCTACCGTGCCACAGGAGATCCCATCCTTTTAGAACTTGGAAGAGACGCTGTGGAATCCATTGAAAAAATCAGCAAAGTGGAGTGCGGGTTTGCCACAGTAAGTGTTTTCCACAGACCACATAGTGGGAAGGTATCTTTCTCAGCAGCCAGAGCTTCCGTAAGGGTGGGATTTTGGGAGTTCTGGCATTTTAGCCATGGAGAGGATCTCAGAGTTAGATATTGTGTTCTTATAAAACAGATAGGGAGACTAAGGAACAAAGAGGCTAATTGCCTTGATAAGGGCCACATAGCTAGTGGAGGTGGAGCCAGAATTATTCCTTGGGTGTTGACCCCATGCCTTTGGCATTCCCCCTGCATCAGAGGCTCTTTGTCTGAATAGGCTACTTTGCAAGTATGTGAGTTTTGGGGAAAGTTTTGTGGAAAGTCTTATAAAACCTGATGTTATTTAAACCTGGACTCCTTAATAAAATAGTCCTGTTACTGTCACTCCCTGCTACTGTCACTGTCATGTGCCCAAGGGTTCTAGTATCGAAGAAGGACCAATTCCTTGTTCCCATGGAACTTACAGTTTGGTAGGAAAAGTATTAATGTGTATCTGAGAGGCAGGAGGAAAACCAGTATGGCTGGACCAGAATAAGATTACTCTGGCTGCTCTGTGGAAAATAGATTGAATCAAAGAAGAGAGTCATCTTCCACCCTTGTAGGATCCACACAACTGAAATATAAATGCTCACAGGGCCGGTGTTGGCCCTGGCCACTAAAGTGCTGCTCAGGACCCCTGCTTCCCACAACTGCAATGCCTGGGTTCAGGTCCTAGCCCTGCTTGCAACTCCAGTGTCTCTACAGTGTATGAGCTCTCTGGGAGATAGCAGGTAATGGAGCCCCAGGCTGAGTTCCTGGCTCCTGCAGCTCTGGCACCATCTGGGGCTGTTGCAGGCATCTGGGGGAAGTGAGGCAGCAAATGGACTCTCTGTGTAGGTCTCTCCGTGTTGTTTTGCCTTTCAAATACATCAAATAAATAAGCAACCAGTCATTTACTGATACACTAAAAAACTGCCAGGCCTTCTTGGGAATGCTAGACTTACTCCCATCAAAGCACAGCCCTTTAGAGGTCCAGGGCGGGAACAGGCATCTGACCTTTGTCAGAGCAAGGAAATAATAAATTTTGGCATGTCAAGTCCCTATTTGAGTCAAAATTTTTGTGTAAAATAGATGTCCACTGAGAATTGGTTTTGTTTATATGCATTGCTAGTTCTGAGAAGCTAACATAAGTGTTTGCAGCAAATAATCTTTCTCATGTATGCCTGTAAGCCAGTTGAAATTTTCTGAGTATGGGCCCAGCACGGTAGCCCAGCGGCTAAAGTTCTTGCCTTGCGTGCACTGGGATCCCATATGGGCGCTGGTTATAATTCCGATGGCCCTACTTCCCATCCTGCTCCCTGTTTGTGCCTTGGGAAAGCAGTCAAGGATGGCCCAACGCCTTGGGGCCCTGCATCCACGTAGGAGACCTAGAAGAAGCTCCTGGCTTCGGATCAGTTCAGCTCTTGCCATTGCAGCTGCTTGGGGAGTGAATCAACAGAAACAAATCTAAAAAAAAAAAAAAAGAAGAAAGAAATTTTCTGAGTAAGACCACTTTTGAGTCATTTACAAATGCTAAAACCCTGCAGTTGTGTTGGGGGGGGGCGTGGTGAGCAATTGCCTCAGGAAATGAGTATGCATTTATTTTAGTGTATTTGAAAGACAGAGAAACATACAAAGTGAGAGAGATCTTCCATCTGCTGGTTCATTCCTGATTGCCCACAACAGTCAGACCTTGGCCAGGCCAAAGACAGGTGTCCAATACTTGAGCCATCGCCTGCTGTCCCTCCCCCAGTGTATATATATACATTAGCAGGATGCTCAAGTCAGAGCCAGGACTTGAACTTCAGACACTCTGACCTGGGAATGCAGGCGTCACGGGTGACACCTTCACCTCGATGCCATCACGAAAAGATTAGGTCTGCATTTGCCTTCAGAAGGCCAGGATGAAGCGGGCTAGAGGATTGTCATGTATGGAAGAAGATCGGGGGGACCTTAGTGATGAGATGCTGTTTGAACCAGAGACCTGAAGGGGGCAGAGGTGTGGATTCTGAGGATTTCTCACAAAGGAGTGCTCATGTTGACAGAGCAGATCAAAGCAGCTGAGCTGAGGGAGTGTTTGCTCACTCCCAGATTGGAAAGGCTGCACAGCTGGAGCCGCCAGAGCAGGATTAGAGCGCTAAGAGATGAGGTCAGGAGGAGCAAGAATCATCATCAAAGACTGCAGAGGCCGTGAGAAAGACTTTGGTATCCAGTCGGCCCAAAATGGGGTGTCCACAGAGGGTTCTGAGGAGGAAAGTGATGAGTAAGACTTCATTCTTTTTAAATATTTATTTACTTGAGGCAGGGAGGAGAGATAGAGAGAGAAAGAAAGAGATTGAGATCTTTTGGCGTCTAGCCGAGGGCTGGGCCAGAATGAAGACAGGAGCCAGAAGCTTCATCCAGGGCTCACGCGTGGGTGCAGGGGCCAGTTCCTCAAATGATCTTCCAGTGCCTTCCCAGATGGTTGGTAGCAAGCTGAACTGGAAGTGGAGCAATCTAGGTATGAGATCTAAACTGATGCCTTCCATGGGATGCTGGTGATACAGGCAGCAGCTTTACCCACTTACATCACAATGCCAGCCCCAAGACTTAAGCAGTCAGGGTTTATTATTGATCAGATTAAGGAGCGTAGAACTGCAGAGGCCAAACAAGTGGAGGACTTGCGACTTGTCCAAGGGACCGCCGTTGGGGATGTGTTTGACCCCACAGCCATCAGGGATGAGCCACCATGTCTTCAGGTTCATCTGCATTGAATTTAGTAAAGCCCCACTTTTTTGAGATGTGGATCTTCTGGTGACCAGGGAACTTGAGGTTGGCCCTTCATTGGGTCTCAACCACATGTTCATTGTTCTGCAGCTGTCAGCAGTTTAGATGAGGAACAACACGAGGTCAGCGGCAGGAATGGCCGCTTTAAAGTATTATCTCCGAGGAACCTTAGGACAACCCATACAAAGCAACGGATTGCATACTCTACCAAGGAGGATGCTGTTTGCAGCCATTGCACACCAGGTGCCCATGAAATAAGGGCTCTTCATTAGCTGCAGACCAAGACTTACTTTTTAAAATGTTTACTTATTGGGGCTGGCATTTTCACACAGTGGGTTAAGACACTGCCTGTGATGCTATTATCCCATAGAGTGCTGATTTGAGCCCTGGCTGTTCCGCTTCCAGTCGAGATCCCTACTAATGCACAAGGGAAAGCATCAGAAGATGGTCTGAGTACTGGTCACCCGTGTTGGAGCCATGGATGAAACCTCTGGCTCCTGGCTCTAGCCTGGCCCCACTCTGGCCATTGCAGCCATCTGGGGAGTGATTCAGCAGATGGAAAGTCTCTTTCCTTTCTCTCTCTCACTCTCCTTATGTAACTTTACCTTCAAATAAAAATAAATCTTTTAAAATTGTTCATTTATTTGAGAGGTGGAGAGAAAGAGATCCCTCATCTGTTGATTCACTCCCCAGTACTACAGTGAGCAGCCCTCCAGTCTGGTCTCCCGCATGGATGACAGGGACCAAAGTACTTGAGCCATGACTAATTGCCCTCACCCCTACTGAGGTGCACATTGGCAGAAAACTAGAACCGGAAATGGAGCTGAGACTTAAGCCCAGGTACTCTAGAAAGGGTGGCAGGTGTCCCAAGAGGCATCCTGGCCTTAGGCCAAGTGCCTATTTCAAGATTTTATGACTTCAGTATACAGTATTGTAAGGATGATAGCAGCCCAGTTACAAGCTGTTTGATGGTTCAGGTGAAAGGCACTGGCGGCTTGGAAAAATGTGAAAAAGTGAATTGCTGCTTAGTGTGGCACCCAGGAATTCGAATGGGGGAGAACCGTGATGGTTACCAGCGACACATATGCTGCTGTTCTGACTTTGCCTCCTCCCATGTGGCAGATCAAAGATCTGCGAGACCACAAGCTTGACAACCGCATGGAGTCTTTCTTCCTGGCGGAGACTGTGAAGTACCTCTACCTTCTGTTTGACCCGACCAACTTCATCCACAACAATGGCTCCACCTTCGATGCGGTGATAACGCCCTATGGGGAGTGCATCCTGGGCGCTGGCGGCTACATCTTCAACACGGAAGCTCACCCTATCGACCCAGCCGCCCTTCACTGTTGTCGGAGGCTGAAGGAAGAGCAGTGGGAAGTGGAAGACTTGATGAAGGAATTCTACTCTCTCAAACGAAGTAAATCAAGATTTCAGAAAAAGACAATCAGTTCGGGGCCGTGGGAACCGCCCACAGGGCCAGGCACCTTCTCCTCACCCGGAGACCAGGAGCAGGCCAGGGAGAAGAAGCCAGCCAAGCGGAAGGTACCCCTTCTCAGCTGCCCCAGTCAGCCCTTTACCTCCAAGTTGGCATTACTGGGCCAGGTTTTCTTAGATTCCTCATAACCACTGGATCATTTCTTTTTTTTTTTTTTTAATTTCTATTTTTTTGAGACTAAACTATAATAATAAATCTGCTTTTGGCTATTATGTCTCTCATCGTGTTTTACATGTGGGGCAATTTCAGGAGATTTGATTCAAAGAAAGGGATGGCTGATGACAGTTGTGAGTTACTTTATTTTCCTTACCTAGTTGGAGAAACCATTACACACAAACTTAGTTTACTCTGAAGACTCCAGGAGTTGAAGTTGACTCGCCCTTCTGTTCCTGCATTGTACCTTCCCTCTGGGGAAGATGCTGTGATAAATGTGCTTTGTGAGTTCTGGCCCCACGTGTGCACCTGCCCTGCCCATCACCTCACTGATGTGTCCATCCTTTCAGGCAACAAAGATGTTTAAGCACCTTTTGCGTTCTAGCCACTGCTCTAGAGAGTCTGCAGGGAATTAGGCAAGCAGCTTTTATTCTTTGTGGAAACTATATTCTAGCAAAGAAATAAGCTAGGGAACCTATGAAAAAATATTCAGTTAAGTTTCATGAAGGGAATTGGATGCTGTGATAAAAATAAATAATGGGAATAGTTATAACCTTAGCCACTGTGGTCAAGGAAGGCCTCCCTGAAGAGATGACTTTTTAAACCTTTAATTACATAAATGTTTACATCAACTGAAACGGAAAGAACATGATAGCGATCCTTTAAGTGTTTGTTACCAACTTCAAACCCAGTTTCAAAATGGCAGACATATGGTCTGTAAAGCAATGTTTTGTTTTGTTTTGTTTTTTAGAGATGAAGAGTTATAATCAGATTTAGAGTTTTGAGTTTTGAAGACTTCATTTGTTACGTGGTGCAGGAGATCATTCCAGACAAGTCTAGGATGTACTAACGAATATTTACTAACCAAACTTGGTGATGGCAGTGTCTACTAGAAATTAGCAAATAGCAAGTCCATGTGGCAATCCAGCCTGAATTGAAACCCTGGGAGAAACAAATATTCATTACCATGACAATCTATGATCCAGCTTCCCCAGCAATAGAAATCATCCTAAGAGACACACAGTGGACAACCTGGACACACTTAGAAAGCTGTAAACATTTACCTATTCCTGGCTTCTCGTCCGCATTCCATTACTGTTAGGCCTCACCTCTCCTGGAACTCTGGAAAGTACACAAGTCAGAAATGCAAAGCATCTTAGCATTCCCATCTTCACTGACTTGCTTAAGAAATGAATAGTGGGTGAGGAATACAAACATACAGGGACCGTGTTCAGGGGCTACCTGTCCTCAGAGTGTGTCCATGGGAAGCCAGAAAGCAGGCAGGTCCTGGGGAGGCCAAGAAGAAGAGTACCAGAGTGACGGAAGCCCACAACCGAGAGAGACCCTCCCTATGGTGGACTTTTATAAGGGCTTGTAAGGGAAGTGATTACACAGCAACGCTATACCACCTCTTCCCAGGTTCCAGGTGATGGTGGGTGAACTGTCACAGGTAGTAGAAGGTAGGAGAAAGGTGGGAGAGGTGTGGCTTTCAAGCTCATGACCTTGAACTAGCTGCCCAAGACTACAACATATGGAGTTTGAGGCAATAGGAAAATCTGAAGATGCTCTTATAGTTTTATATGAAAACTATATACTTTTATATATGTTTCTGAAAACTCATGGAGAAAAATGGAACTAAACTAAGTTTATTTTGATGTGACAAATTTTTAAATCCATGCATACTTTTCTATAATACACATTTTCTATGAACTTTTTGAAGACCTTGTGTAAGTATGGATTTCAAAATTTGTTGTACCAAAGTAAACTTATCTTTTAATTCTATTTTCCTGGGATTTAAAAAAATATTTATTTGTTTTTATTGGAAAAGCAGATATACAAAGAGGAGGAAAGACAGAGAAGAAGATCTTCCGTCTGATGGTTCACTACCCAAGCGACTGCAACAGCTGGAGCTGACCCAATCAGAAGCCAGGAGCCAGCAACTTCTCCTGGGTATCCCATGCAGGTGCAGGGTCCCAAGGCTTTGGGCCGTCCTCATCTGCTTTCCTAGGCCACAAGCAGGGAACTGGGTGTGAAGTAAGGCCACTGGGATTAGAATTAGATCCCATATGGGATCTTGGCGTGTTCAAAGCAAAGACTTTAGCCACTATGCTTATTTTCCTTGAATTTTAAATATCTTCATTTAACTTGAAAGGTAGAGATAGAGGTGAAACTGTCATTTACTGGTTCGTCCTTAAATATGACAGCTAAAACTGAATGAGAGCAAAGCTGGCAGTCAGAAATTCAAGCTGAGTATTTTACATGGATGTCAAGAACTCAAGTACTCTGGGCTTCCCAGAATACACATTAGCAGGAAAGTGGGTTCAAAGCAGAGGCGGGACCAGAAGCTAAGCTTCTCCAACATGAGATGCTGGTATCCCAAATAGTGCATATAACTTCTGTGCCAAACATCCTTCTCTAATATGAACTTTTTAAAGGGCCCTGGTACCTCATTGGGCCCATTGGCTTCTTGAGTTCTGATTGGTGTCACTGATGCTCAGAGAATCCAGGCAGAAGACTAGAAAGAGGGAGTGAATGGGGCAGGGTCAGGGTCTTTATCCCCATGCTCTTTGCCTGCATGGCTTTGCTGTAGGCTGCGTACCTCTCTCTGTGAATGGCCTCTTTGGATATCAAAGCAACCTTCTCGATATAACTCTTTATTTTTGAGTGCTAGTTAATTCTGTGTGTCTGTTTGGCTAGCCACAGGCACCCAGATATTTAGTCAGATGTTATTCTGAGGGCTTCTGTGAGGGTGTTTTTGGATGAGATTAACATTTTAATCAGGACAGCAAAGCAGATTGCCCTCCATAATGTGAGTGGGCCTCATCTCATTGGTTGAAGCCTGAGTGTCTCCGAAACACCAGGCCACCCTCACACAAGAGGAACGTCTCCCACGCTGTGCTCTCACACTTCATCTGCACCCTTGGCTCTCCCGGGTTTCAGCCTGCCAGCCCACACAGCAGACTGGGACTTGCCAGTCCCTGTAATCCTGTGAGCCGCTTCCTGAGAATAAAGTCTTTTATAACATTTTTATCTTTTTGAAAGGTAGAGTAACAGAGATGGAGAGACAGATCTTTTATCCCTGCACCCACAAGGGAGACCTGGAAGAAGCTCCTGGTTCCTGACTTTGGATCGGCTGAATTTCAGCTGTTGAGGCCATGTGTGGAGTGAACCAGCAGACAGAAGATCTTTCTGTCTCTCCTTCTTTCTGTAAATCTGATTTTCCAATAAAAATAAAGTAAAAATAAAATAAATCTTTAGAAAGAAAAGAAAATGTGCCTAATGGCTACACCCAGGTTATTTTATTTAGCATACTGTCATCCCATCTGATTTTGGTGTATGACTGTTAGTAGGAGTTTCATATTATAATGGCAACACTTAAAATTATTTAATTTTGTATCTACACAACTCCTAGTTAGCTGTGAAAATGAGGGGCCATTTTTACTTTTGGCAATTAAAACAAATATTGAGAGGCAGAGAGACAGTTTGACAGAGAGCAAGAATGTGTGTTCCTGCCCATTGATTAATTTCCCCCAAATACCTATAAGAAGTAGGGTTAGTTGAGGCTGAAGCCAGAGACTGAACTCAATCCAGGTCTCCTGGGAGATCACAAACTTATTTGAAGGAATTACCACTGCTCAAATCTGAGGCAATCTGAAATGAAAACATACATCTGCAAAACGTTTTTTTTTTTTTTTTAAATTTTATTTTTATTAGAAAGGCAGATTTACAGAGAAGGAGAGACAAAAATTTTCCATCTATTTCACCTCCAATTCAGATTCCTGCTAATGTGCCTAGGGAGTAATAAATAATGGCTCCAATACTAGCACCCCTGCTGCCCTTATGGAAGACCTGGATGGAGTTCCAGGTTCCTGGCTCTGGTCTTGGCCCCAGTTTTCTGGGGAGTGAACCAGCAGATGGAAGATTCTTTCTCTCTGTTGCTCTGCCTTTCCAGTAAATAAATCTTTTTAAAAACTTGGCATGTGACATGGATATAAACATGTTGAAATGTATCCAGTTCTGCACTTAAAAGCTATTCATTTCATTTTCATTGAAAATGATATTCGAAAGAAAAACAGAGTAATAGCAGCAATGGATCTATTATTCACGTTAAATAATAAGGAATCCGTAAAAAAAGTGTCCCCGGGAGGACTGGCGTGGTCGTGCTGTGGGTTGGGCTGTCACTTGGATGCTTGCATCCCATGTCACAATACCAGTCCCATTTCCTTTGCCTCAGATCCAGCTCCCTGCTAATGAACCTGGAAAGGCAGTGAATTATGAGCTCAGTGCTTGAGCCCTGCACCCATGTGGAAGGAGTTCCAGGCTCCTGGCCTCTGCCAGGCCCAGTCCCAGCTGATGTGACATGGGGAAAGAGCCAACAGAAGGAAGATCTCTTGGTCTGTTACTCTCCCTCTGTTACTTTGCCTTTCAAAAGAGCAAAGAATTGAAGATAGTTTCTCAAATGTCAGAAAAAAAAAATGCTGCAGGGTGAGTAATGCCTTAGCAGGTAAGAAGCAAGGATCCCTCATTGAGTGCCTCATTTGGAGTTCTGGCTCCACCACTTATACATTTTCTTGTTAATGTGCACCCCGCGAGGCAGCTAACACCCATACAGAAGACCTTGGTTGAGTTCCAGGTTCCCTGCACCAGCCAACCCAGTCCTGGCCAGTGAAATCTGGTTTTTGTTTGTTTGTTTTCTGTCACTGTCTTTCTCAAAATAGATACATAAAGTTTTACGTAAAAACAGAGGCCCGGCGCCATGGCCTAGCTGCTCAAATCCTTCAGCACCATATGGGTGCCTGTTCTAATCCCAGCAGCTCCACTTCCCATCCAGCTCCCTGCTTGTGGCCTGGGAAAGCAGTTGAGGATGGCTCAAAGCCTTGGGACTCTGCACCCAGGTGGCTCCTGGCTCCGGATCGGCATAACACTGGCCGTTGCAGTCACTTGGGGAGTGAATCATCGGATGGAAGATCTTTCTGTCTGTCTTTCCTTCTCTCTGGATATCTGACTTTCCAATAAAAATAAAACAAATCTTTTAAAAAAAAAATTGCCCCAGAAAGTCT